AAAGTCATTTCTCTGTGTCACCATTTTGAAGTAGCATATGTGATTTTTAGCAGCCCTTTCATTAGCACTGGGTGCTTCATATGCCTAGTTACTCTATGAACACCAGTTCTCACTTTTAAAATTGTGAAACCATCCCTTGGTGGCATGAAGTGTTTCACATTAACTTGTTGATGGATTATCCTTTACAAGGTCTGCATCTATAGTCCTAGCTTTTTCACAAATTATAGAAACAGGGAGGTTATAGCCTGCCATCTGCCTTTCATTTATCCGCAGTAATAATAGCCTTTGTGCTTCATCTAACACTGTTGATTGTGACTTAACTGTTTGAGTAAAACTTTAGCAGCACTAACTTCCTTACACAAATCTTTTCTCTGTGAGATTGTTAAGAACATAGATTTGACATGCTGTATACATTAGCAAGATTGATCACACAAATTCAACTCTCTTATTTCTTTACAATTTCCTTTTTTTCTTTTCATTGAGTTTGCTTTCCTTATCTTTCTTTTTTCCTTAGCTTCTTTTCCAGATTTTGGGGGCTATTTTGATAGCAGCAATCATAGCAACTATATAAAGCACTGACTAAAATCATGTCCACATACATGCACATTTGGGCTCAGCCTGATGCTTACATATACTGATGTATACTCTTCTGGCATCATGAGCTTTTGTTTACAACTGCGTAAGTGGGCAGCATTTGGGTCATAATTTAACTCTGGTTGTTACGTGAAGCCCAAAATTCCTGTTGTAACCCAAGTTGTTTGTATGTGAGGCCAGTTATGTAATTCAAGGGTCCATTGTATAGCAGAGTATAAAACTACAGTACTATACACTACAATGAGCAAAAATTGCAGTGTTGTATAAACAAGGAGTACTCTACCAAAAAAATGCAGTTCTATCAACAAAATGCACAAAACTATACACAAAATATTGGCCATATCTCTGAGTGGCTGGTCATGAATCTGAGAGTATGCCTCTATTGTAAGTTCAAGTAATAAATAAAACAAGTAGTTTATTAAAAGGGGAATATTTGTATTGTTTTTACTGTTCTCTCTGGGATATTCTTGAATATTTTCTTACCTACTGGTTCAGCATTTGTGTATCTCCTGAATTGGTCTTTTTTTTTTATTTTTTGCCATAATTTTATTGATAAACAAATAGCAATGAGACAGTTTCGAATCAAATCAGTAGGACAGTTTCAATAATTAACACACTGCATACATTCTTCTTAGTGGTTAATTGCTATACAAGATGCGGACTTGATATCCTATTTACAAACACCATTAGAACAAATCATTCTATTCATTAACAGAATGTAACTATATATCTATCCCAACCACTTTGAATACACAGATACAAAATGAACATTCATCTGTATACCCTTTTTTTGTTAAGTTCCATTATTTGAATATTATAGATGTGTAAACTCAGCAAAATATTCTAAAAGAGTCCAGTATCCCATAATAGTATTGGGTCTTCCACTTAACTGGCAGTGTCAGAAATTGTTGACCTGAGTCCCCCACAGCTCAACATAACCACATGGCTTTATTTCTTATATTTCATTTTTATACTTTCCTTCTGGATGGTTAAGACCAAGGTAAAGCAGGACCTATGCAACAAGAGTTGTAGCTTTTGGGTCTGATAAGGTCAGTGAAATCCCCTCAGGATTTATCCTGAGATCCTGTACCTCAGATTGTAGAACCTTTGTCAGCCATGTGGATGAGTCACGGCCATTGCTTGGCCAATGTGCTCTCTGTGAAAGCCTGAGGGAATGTCTTCTCTCCATGTGACTCTCCTTAGGCACACTCTACATCATTGATCACTTTCCTCTTTGTCCTGCTTCAAGGTTGTATATGGTGAGATTTTTGGACTTATGTGCAAACATGAGAAGTATATAATTCTTTATGCCTATTTTTAAAATATATTCTAATTTTTAAATGTTCTTTATCATATTCTGTAGGGACTTAAAGTTCAACATATCAATACTTGATGAAAAATACCTGTTCCATATTATGCCTAAGATGTTTGATATGCAGACAGATAGTAAAGTTAAGCTTAACAGCCTATGTTTTCGATAATAACAACAAGCTTGTCTTCTGGATGGTTAACAACCTGTTTGCAGACCAAACTTAGAGAAAAAGGAGGGCTGCAAGGAAGCCAACATTTTGGCCCTAGCCTTCTAAGGTCAATTATGACTCAGGACATATGAGAACTTGTACTGTAACGTCATGTAACTCGGTAGTGTCCTAAATTTTCTGATCAAGGAGATTATGGTGCTGAATTGGTCTTTTTCAATAAATGTCTTTAATTCTTCATCTATTTTGGATAGATTTGCTTGATAAATTAAATAGGGTTGGAAGTTACTCTAAAATGTTGAATATACTTCAAGTTCTTCTGGACATTAAAATTTGTGCTAAGTAGTCTGTAACTTTATTTTTTTTAATCAATACATTGTACATTGTTATCTTCTTAGTGGTTATCCATAGTACAAGAAGCAGACAGGATATTCTGTCCAAACACTGTTAGTACACCTCTTTCTTCCCATTGAATTAAGTGAAAGTAGCTGTAAATTTATCCTATTTTGTATATATATACAAAATGATCTTTCCTTTCTTTCCTTTGTTTTAGTCTGTAACTTTAATTGATTTACTTGTGTATGTGATTTTTTAAATTTTATTTTTGCTTTAAAATGTTTGTTGTTTTTTTTATATCTAGCAATTTAATAAAACTATGCCTTGATGAGCATTTTTTTAAATCATAGTGCTATAGCATTCTTTAACCCTTACTTCTACTTAAAATACTTTACTGATGTTTGCAAAATTTTCACTATGATTTTCACAAACATATTATTAATGCTGTGTTATCTTCTACTTTTTCTCTAGCTCCAGGTAGCATTAGGTTGATCTTTTCAGTGTTGTACAGTAGCTTCTAGATGGTCTTTTCTTCCCTCTCTCTTTTGTTGTCTTCTTGAGGACTTCTGCATAATTTATTATTTTGTCCATTTTAATCAGAATATCTACATTGGTCATTTCTGGAATTTAAGAATTTTTTATTTCAGGTATTTCTACCTAACATTGTTTCCACAATTGTGAACATTTTTCTTGAATCTGTCATTCATATTTTGATCTGTTCTAGCCAGCTTGTCCATTTTACTCATTTCCTCTGAATCAATTGTGAACATATTGGATGGTAATGATGTGTAATTTCCGTTAATTGCCTCTTTGAACCCATCTATTTTCTTCATTGCATCTATAAAATTTCTGTAGAGCTCTACTTCCAGGTATTTGTTTTCTTGTCTGTATGTGACCTTTTGTTCCGCTTTGAGGGACCCTGGGAGTATTCAGTTGCCTTGTTTCCCCACATGTCAGTGTGTATTTATATCCATTTTTACTATGATCTCCAGGAATTCCATGTATTGGCATAGAGGGAAAACAAGTTGTTATCCACTTCTATGTTACCTTGACCATAGTAGTAAATTAAGCAACATCAATGACATCAAATGACATATGAATATTAACAAACCTAGGAACGATTCATAAGTATTCCTAAGCAAATGATTATGATTTTACTGAAGACCACCCATATGTTAGCTTATAATATTTTAGACAACTAGTTTCTGCTGGATGTAGGGAGCAGTATCAGAGCTCAAAGATACCATTATACTATCTTTCTTTGTTTTTTAAGAATGTCCCTTCTCATAATTTTATCCTTGAAACCTATCCTCCCTCATGAAAATACTGGCCCTGTGATCAAACTGGTGTGATCCTAGGCCTTCCAAGCAGTGCTAGGAGATCCTTCTTTAGCTATCCCTTTCTTTAAGCCTATCCCCTAAGTTTTCTCTGACCCTCTCTGTGCTGGGGTAATACTTCAGTCCTTAAGCAGAACTCTCCTCATGGGTGCTGTTATCATCTTTAGTCATGTGTCTGTTATCACCTCTGTTGTGATGTGCTAAGGAGATCCCACAAGCAACTGTGGGCATGCACCTGTTGATAGAGTGCTTGATCATTGGGTCATGATGTCTTCCCTGAGCTGATCACAAAGGCCCCAAAATGCAGCTAAATGTGGCATAATTCTTTGGTCAGTCCTGAGGCTCTCCTTGGCCTCAGCATGTGGGTCACAAAGTGTGGCTAACAGTGGACACTTGGTCAGTCCTAGTGTCCACCCTGGGCTGGGTACACAGCTCTAACCTGTAATACATCACTACATTTCTCCATTACATCTTGGAAATTTTTATATCTCTGTGACAAGTATTTTGTGTCATTTAATTATAAAATAATGTCTACTTTAATCTAATTTCAATGTTATTCTCCAGTAAAGTATATATATATATATATATATATATATATATATATATGTTTTTCATTAGCATTTTAACTTCACTATTCATTAATTTTACTTTGTGTTTAAAGTTTTGCCTGTGAAACCAGTTTCAACTTTCACTCTATTGTCTAAATATAATAAGAGAAGGAAGGGATCTTTTTCCTAAATGTTAAGTTGAAAATACAGATATTTTCTGATTTGTCAGAGCAAGTAATTAGATTTTCATATGCACAAGTTTGTTTCTTATTTAACTTCAAGTCTGATCTAATATGCTCCCTCTACAAGCCATACTTTAGAGACTGTACAGAAATAAAACTGGGTTAAACCAGGGGGAGAACCAGTATTATCATTCTGCTGTTTGTTCAACACTGAATTTCCCACTAGCCTCAGAATTCTCTTGGGGCCGGGGAGATGGTTGGGGTCGGGGGGTTGGCTCAGTAGAATAAGTGCTTCCCTGGCAAGTGCAGAGGCCTGAGTTCAATCCCCAGTTCCTCCAACAAGCAAACAAACAAAAATTCTTCTGTGACAAGTGCTTATGGATGAGAAATAAGTATTTGATGGCCAAACCCTGAAATAAACATTTGTAGTACTCAGCCTTATTTCAGCTTTTTATGAGTAGAGTGACTGTATTTCATTTTGTGAGTCTCACTCTTCTTCCTGGAAATATATTTCTGATGACATAGAAGACAGTGACCTTTGAGGATGTGGCTGTGACCTTCACCAGGGAGGAGTGGGCTTTACTGGATCCATCCCAAAAGAAGCTCTACAGAGATGTGATGGGGGAAACCTTTAGTAATGTGGCTGCTCTAGGTAAGGAAGATTTGCCCATTTATTCAATGAGATAACACTGAATGTTGCTCATCAGGACAGTTTCCTCATTGGGATATGGAAAATATTTTGATGAATTTTCCAGGCACATTCATATTATATGATGATTCAAATGGAACCTAGTGCTTTTCATATAAAGTGTTAAGTCATCATTATATCTCTTTTTCAACACTTCAGAAAGAAACTGGAATGAACACCAAATTGAAGATGAGCACAACAATGACAGGAAAAATCTAAGGTAATTTCCATTAATAAGAGCAGCGTTCCTGAAGGTTCAGAAATATTAGAACCAAGGCAAATATACAAATGAAACAATGTTGAAATGTGTTTAATCTCACAGAATTTGTCGAAAATGGATACATATTAAGTAACTAGATTCTGTCCATTCAATATTTGAAATATGTTAATATCTGAAATTCATGAAGTATTGACATTAACCACAAGTGAGATTATATAATGTATAAGAACAAACATTGTTTTTTTCATATTCAAGACTATAAAACATATGAAAATGTATTTAGGCATTAATTATGGGTGTATGTAAAAGTATTTATGTTTAGACCAAGAGCCAAGTGCAGAATATATAATTACATATACATGTATTTTCAAAAGGCCACTTTCTCATCAAACAAGTTATCAAAGTAATACTATGTATATTTAAATTTTGTCTACACATTCACTATTTGTAAAATTGATAAACTTGAGGAAGAATTCAAAACCCAAATGAACGTCCCCTGTTTTAATGATTGCTGTTTTCCAGGAATCTTCCAAAGCACTCATTTCTTCAATTTCTGAAATATTAGAAGTCACCTTCTAAAATGTTAATATAAATGTCATTTTAGTATAATACCTATAGAAATGTGTATTGAAGTTCCTCAAAAAGTAAAAAATGAAAATTTCATTTTACCTGTGTGTACTTCTATGAGGTTAATTCCCCAGAATTTAAAGTAATATTAAACTGACACATATATATATATATATATATTTATAAAAGTGAAGATCTGGAAACACCCTAGATCCCATTCACAGAAGAGTAGAAAGAAAATAAAATAATCTGGGCATGACGATGCATACATGGATTCCTACCATCTTGAGAGGCTGAAGCATGAAGATCAAAAATCCATACCCCACCCACATGCCTTGCTGGGTCCCACCCCTGGGGGACACTGAGCCAGTGACAGAGTCCAGGCATGGTGGCACATGCCTGTAACCCCAGCGTTCGGGATACTGAAAACAGGAGGATCACCATAAGTCTGATCTGCATAGTGAAAATATGTACCAATTACATAATTTTTTAAAAAAATTCATACTTCACCTGAACAACTTTATGATTAATGAGACTCTGTCTCATAATAAAAGATATATAACTGAGACTATGGCTCAGCACAATAACCCTCTGTTCAGTCTGTAGCACCAAAACTAATGTGGTGTTTATATATATAATGGAATAGTATTTATCCATAAAGGAAAATGCAATGATATTTTTTGCCCCCAAAAAAATGGATGGATCTGAAATCTATGTTACCTTAAAAATGACACAGAAAATTCATCATCATATGTTACATTTTGTATGAGAAATTCAACGTATGAATAAGGCAAAATAAAGAGATTGTAGAAAAGAAAGGCAAACATTTTGGAGAGGAAGAAAAGCCTCAGTGGAAGGGGTAGGAGTAGAGTCATAGAGGAAAGAGGTATAAAAAATAATCAATGTATCATACACATATGTAAAAATTCCTCGAAAGTATTATGCATTGCAAACATGTCAGTTACAAACTCACATGAATACTATTTGGATGAAAGTCATTCACAAGCCATCATCTACAGTGTACAATTAATTCATGATAACATTCCCAGAGGTTATCAAAATAGACCTCCTCTGGTAAACTATTATTATAAAGATACTTTTCATTGTGATTGGTTCTTTTGTTGTTTATTTTCTTTGACAGAAATGAGGTAAAGAAATGCCAACAATATAAATTATTTGATCAACATGGAGAAATGGTTTATGTGACTTCCAAAACTAATATGCACATGAAACTGCTCAATGCAAAACCAGGTGAAAGCCTGGCTTGTGGAAAGCTTCTGATTGGCTATTCATCACCGACTGTGCCCATCATACATAACGCTGGACTCAAATCATATCAGTATCGTAGATTTGAACAGAAGCTGTCTAAATGTAACAGAAGTGGGAAAGCCAACACTGACATTCAGTCATATCAGAAGGATGCAAAGTCAAGTCCTGGAAAGAAACCATATGAACATAAAGAACATGAAAAATCTTACTCTGATTGGAATCAAGAAAGTAACCTTGAAGATAAGCCATTTTTATATAAGAAGGAAATGAAATTTTTCCATACACACCACTATGTTCAAATCCAGGAAAGAAATCACACCACAGTAAACATATACATATGCATACAATGTGGAAAAGGTTTTACTTCTCACAATGGTATTCAGAAACATGAAAGAATTCACAGCAGAGAAGAATCCAATTTATATAAACACTGTGGGAAATCTTTAGCAAATAACACTGCATTTGGTGACCATGAAAGTACCCACACTGGGGAAAAATCCTATGTGTGTAAGCAGTGTGGGAAAGCTTTCAGACAATACAGTTATTATCAGATTCATGAACAAACTCACACTGTTGTAAAACCATATGTATGTAAGGAATGTGGGAAAGGTTTTAGTACACGTAGTGATTATCAAAAACATGAAAGAATTCATACTGGGGAAAAACCCTATGTATGTAAGCAATGTGGAAAGGCTTTCACTTCTCACTGTTCTTGTGAAAGACATAAACGAACACATACTGGGGAGAAGCCCTATAAATGTAAGCAATGTGGGAAAGCTTTCAGCACGAATAGTCACTGTCGAACACATGAAAGAATTCACACTGGTGAGAAACCCTATGTATGTAAGCAATGTGGGAAAGCTTTCAGTCAACACAGTCATTGTCAAATTCATGAGCGAACTCACACTGGTGAGAAACCCTATGTATGTAAGCAGTGTGGGAAAGCTTTCAGTACACGTGGTGATTGTCAAAAACATGAAAGAACTCACACAGGTGAGAAGCCCTATGTATGTAAGCAATGTGGGAAGGCTTTCACTTCTCACTGTTCTTGTGAAAGACATAAAAGAACTCACACTGGGGAGAAACCCTATGTATGTGAGCAGTGTGGAAAAGCTTTCAGCACAAACAGTCATTGTCGAACACATGAAAGAATTCACACTGGTGAGAAACCCTATGTATGTAAGCAATGTGGGAAAGCTTTCAGCACACATGGTGATTGTCAAAAACATGAAAGAACTCACACTGGGGAGAAACCATATGTATGTAAGCAATGTGGAAAAGCTTTCAGTCAACATACTCATTGTCGAATACATGAACGAACACATACTGGGGAGAAACCGTATGTATGTAAGCAATGTGGGAAAGCTTTCAGCACACACAGTGGGTGTCAAGTACATGAAAAGAATCACACAGGTTAGAAACCCTATGTGTGTAAGAAATATGGAAAAGCCTTTACTTACTCTAGCAGTCATCATAGATGTTAAAAATTAAATTAATTTTGAATATATTGCATCCTGAACTTATATGAAAGGACAGTGCAGAGAAGCCATTTCTTTGTATGCAATATAAAAAATCTTTCAGCACTCATGTACCATTATATACCTGAAGAAATTATTAGAAGAGGAAATCTGAATACACACGTTCAGAAAATGTATTTTTTTCTTGGTGCATTCAAGTACAAATAGTCTTCACATGAGAGGAATACATATACATAAATGTCGGTAACCTTTTAATTTTTTCACTTACTCTGAAAAGCATAGAACTCCCCCTGAAGTGAAAATCTATGTAAACAATGTGAAAAAGCATTTTATAATTCTCATAAGGTCAAAACATGCACAAACTCTAAATGAAATTCAGTATAAAAACAATGAAAAAGCCAAGAATCAGATGAGTGTATTACTAATGAGGTACACAGTTTTAAACCACACACCCAGGGACATTCTTCTTCCACTATATCTATGTACTAATACATTGAGGAGGTCAGAAAATGCATCATAATGCAAAATTCAGAACAACAAAGCACCTTGCTTCCAAGTCTTCACTACCTTGCCTTAACAGGGTATTTTACAGGCAAGCCATGACCTTAGTTGAATGAATAAAGTAAAATTTATCCATACACTAAAATTTTATTGAGACTGAAAAGTAATCCCTCATTTGTGGCAATGGGGATTAACCAAGAGGTCATTAAGTGAAATACACAAGGCATAGACAAATTAAGGCTTGATCATATTTGTTTTTAGTATCTAATATTGACAGCTTTAAGGAAGCAGAAAAGAGTGATGGTTGCCAATAACGTAGGTGGGGAAGTTGAGAGATGTTAATGAGAAAGCCAGCGTTTCTCTGGTAGAGTATAAAAAAGTCATGCATTTCATATTGAATACAGCAGATAATGCTGTGTCATACACAATTACAGTTTCCTACGGGCTGTTTTTAGGATGAGTGATTCCAATATGTAGGTCTTTTTATGCACATTATATTTTTGAATCTTTGTAAGGAACTTTTGAAGTGCAGTTTTAATTGACTGGTTTTACTGATAAAGCACACTAAGCTAGAGGAAATTTGAAATGTCTTGAGTTTTTATAAAAGGATTTACTGGAAGAAGGTAAAATTTATGTGTATATAATGGCTCTTGACCAGCATAGCAGTTGGCTATTTACTCTTGCTGGGATATATAAATCTTTAATGCACTATCCTTCCAAAGTTTATTTTCTGTGCACCCAACTATAGCATGCTGTCAAATTCCTTCTTACAAGGTGCTATTTTCTTAGCTTTCTAAAATGGAAATAATAGCTTTCTAATTCCAATCAAGGATATGAGCTTTCTTGTACACTATTCATCTTATATCAGAGCAGCACACATAAAACAACTTAAATTTTTTCAGTTGGAAATTCTAAGAGCATGACACAAAAATCTTTATGGTACTAAATGCCTTTCTTGTTAAGGCCATGTAACCATACGTAAGGTAAAAATAAAAAGGAAAATTGTGCTGATGCTAATCATAAAACATTCATTCTTTCATTAATACAATCATTCTACTCATCAGGAAAAAGCATTCATGTGCTCATCACATTTTAGTGTTCCCAGTACTCAGCTATGGTCTTATATTCCAGCTTCCAATGTAGGATTTTGAGGGAACATACCAAACCTCACAATGAGTTACTAATTTTAAATCTGACTGGAGCCAGTTGGAAACACACAGGAAAAGGATGTCTACAATTAATCTTGACTTTCCACAGTAGTAGAGATTAAAATCTCAGTGGTAGTCATTGTCCATTTATTATTGTCAGTGGTTTTCATGACAGTAGGATCCAATTTTTTATGTATGGTACTTCCTTTATTTGAAATAAAAATTTCATATCACATAAATGTATCCAGTATTCAAACTAATAACATGATTGAGTGAAAATGCAACCTGAGATTATTCAAAGGGTTGTTTCATTTTTTGTTTTTGGCTGCACCGGGGATTGAACTGAGGCCCTTGTGCTTGCCAGGCAATCCCTTATTCTACTGAGCCATCTCAAAGGGATTTTTTATTAATAAATGACTACAGAGACTTTAATAGATTGTTGTGCATCTTATTGGGACATAAATACAATGCAACATATGCTTTGGTTATTAAAGCATCTTTATAAAGCCCACAATAGATAAAAGTACTCTTTAAAGAAAAATAAAGGAATATTTTCTTGGGAGAAAATGGGTGGATTTAATTTTATTCACCTTAGTAAATTCCTCAGTATTCTTCATTGATGCTTTTTTGTGCAATTCACTTACTCCTATCCTCTTTTCCACTTAGGCCTATGTGCCATGACATGTATGAGTCATTCCTTTGTCATCTGGGATAAAAGTGAACTGTTTTTACTCACAGCACATATGACAAAAAATGTCAGGACTCTGTCTATAGCTCACAGTGTAAAATGAAAACTTTAAAGGACAGGGTTTTTTCCTTTAGGATTAAGGGCTTCTAACTTCTTCCTCCTGAGCCCATAAACATCTACCTCTTTTCAGCTCCAAACAAGTGACAGAGTATATAGATTCTGGCTACAGAGTTCCAGAGTGAAGTTTTCTTCCCACAGGAGAAGGAGAATGATCTGAGGAATGTGGAAATGGATAAACAATAAAGCAAGTGTTAGGATATCCATTAACGCATCATGTTTTTCTGTCTCCACCCAATCATCTCTGTGTTCCTTGCTATAGAAGACATCTGCTTCTACTTATTAAGATTGTGATTTGATCAAATGGACCACTCAGTCTCTTCAGAGTTATCTTTGAATGAATCCTTCCCACACACGCACACACACACAAAAAAAAAAATGACCTGCGATTTGCCAATGAACACACAAACCTGAACATGTTAAGGTGAGTGACTGGTAGAATGTTTGCTTTATCTAGTCAGGAGGCAAGTGCAGTCTCTAGATTTCAGAATACACAGCATTGTATTTGACAACAGACTCTGTATAACACACACAGCTTGAGAGCCATTGTGTTTAAATATCTGATAATCTTTGAATGTTGTAAGAAGGGCTTTATGATTCTGTTTCCATCAGTCATCTCTGCCAGAATTGGCCTGTGGGACACCTGGGCTGCCCACTGCATACAGAAGAATCCCCAGTACTGACAGTGGCTTAGCAAACAAGAAATAAAGTTACTTAGGACCAAACTTAAAAATCTTCTTGGCACCCGTTTTATCTATGCACACCTGGGATGATTGCCTCTGCAATTTGAGCTTCAAACATTACATCCAGATTCTTTGGGGCTCTTTGAAATGTTGACCCCAATATAAAAGCTGTATATACCCAGCCTTCCTCCACACAGCTGGTTCTATCACTTTGATGTCATTCGGCCTGTTGGTAAGATAAATAAAATAAAATAAATAAAAATCTTTCATACAGCCTCAGTCTGGGTGTTGCCCCACTCTGCCATTCACCTAACATGGTGCTGTGATTTGAATGATAATAGGAAATTCCTTCTGAGCAGGTACTTCCTACCTTGAGCCTTTGCCGGGGAGGGTACCTGGTCACAATGATTCCAGACCTTACCCAGTGCTGCAGGCATTTCCCCAGCTCCTGCCATGCTGATTGATTCAGATCAGGTAAGCTCACTCCACTTTTCATACTTTTCTAACTTGCTGCACCTTATGACCCGCCCTTCCCCCACACACATACTGTTCCATGTCAGTCACAGCCATAGCTTTTAGCCACACCTGGCACTTTTAGCTCTAAAAGTTTAACCTCTGTGTCCAACCTACTTCCTCACTGCTGTCTACTGCTCCCTAATTCTGATCTCTCACCCCTTGGGGAAAAGAAAGGCTCACTCTTCCTCTATACCTGTAAGCCTAGTGCTAGTCATGGATAGATGCTTCCAGGGGAGATGGCTCCCCTTAGTGATTGGTCAAGTGAGTTGATGACCCATTTACTCATTCACCCATATTCTTAATAGCATTGACTGTTTCCCTGAACATGTTCAGTGTAGGCCCTCCTGCCACTTTTGTTTTGCCACAAGTGTAGCAATTACCTTTTCTGCTCCTGATAGGGAATTCGGTTTCTTCTTTTTCTCCCTTAACCCATGTCCCAAATGATCTGAAGCCTAAGTGTCTTGTATCTCTGTAACCCTAGGTGGTTAAAGAATGGGACCTTTAGCAGCACAATTTGTGATAGCCAAATCTTGGAAACAACCAAGATGCCCATCACCTGAGGAATGGTTGAAAAAGATGTGGTATTTTTACACAA